AAGGGTACTGAGAAGCACCAAAAAGGAAAGAAAAGAAAACAATTGACAATTCCCCAATGCAGAAAAAAAAAAAAACGTGAGACACCACTCCCATACTAATATTAGAGCTAGATACAATGACAGTGAAGATCCTTGATACTGGGCGTTAGACATTTACTCAAAACAACCATACACCCAAAAATAATTTACTCCCCTGCCTGTACCCACGATGACACCTTCTTTCTCGTAGTTGTAATGAAACAACAACTTGGCAGACTATGCAAGTACTCCAGGTACACTAAAGAATACATTTAAAATGACAAAAGCGAAAAACAAACAAACAAAATCTATCCTTTTTCAGCATTATGTTTGCTTTCACTCATTGTCAGGGAAAAACGAAACTTGTTTAATCTGGTCACCTGGAACGTGGCACGCATTAGCGGCATCAATGACAAAGGCTGCCATAAGAGCTTCAGGGCGTTCATTCAACAACTTTTCCCATCCATTGCCGTCGAATACCCTAACGTGTCGTGTAACAACCTTCTCCTTCACTTCCGTTGGGTCCGTCCACAATTCACAGTGCGCACGCAAGAACGTCAACTCCTTCTCCTTATCAGCCATAAGTGCTTCCAATGCGGCATTCACACCATTCAAACCCTTTAACTGCAGAAGAATATCCATTAGCTCACTCTCAAGAGCATCAACAGTGTCATTTTTATCTTTAGATAAGGACTCGTATGCCCTCTCCAAATCATTAACTTTTCCTTGCAACTGCTCTTGCAACACACCCATTTCTAAACCTTTCGCCCGCACTTCTTCAGCCGCTCTATCACAGTCGGCAGACAAACGTTCCACATCATTTCTTAACTCTCTATTAACATCAGATAAGTTCTTCAATTCATCACCCTGTTTCAACAACTCATCCTGCAACCTATTACTTTCACCTGTAACTCTTTCGACATCTCCCAACAACTTATTACTCTCTGCTGCAAGCCTCTCATTCTCAGCAGCCTTCTGCTCCAGTTCATCAGCCAGTTTCTCGTTCTCTGCAGTCTTCTGGTCCAGTTCATCAGCCAGCTTCTCGTTCTCAGCTGCAAGCTTATCATTCTCAGCAGCCTTCTGCTCCAGTTCATCAGCCAGTTTCTCGTTCTCTGCGGCAATATTCTCGTTCTCAGCAGTCTTCTGCTCCAGTTCTTCAGCCAGCTTCTCATTCTCAGCTGCAAGCTTATCATTCTCAGCACCCTTATGCTCCAGCTCATCAGCCAGCTTCTCGTTCTCTGCCGCAAGATTCTCCTTCTCAGCAGTCTTCTGCTCCAGCTCATCAGCCAGCTTCTCGTTCTC